GAAAGTTGAGAGGAAAAGCCTACAGTGAGAGGTTTCTGGTAGGCAAGATTTAAAAACTTAGCTAATTAGGAGTAAAGAATATAACCAAAACTGGGCTTAAATCTTATGCCCAAGATGTGATAATATATATATATATTATTACTAATATATCATATTAGTGATATGTGATCATATATTCGTATATATATTAGTAATATATGCACATAGTGATATTGACTCAATATGCTAATGTTGACACATTATGCATAGTAACATATATGTTACTTGTGGAACTTGGTCTAGAGCTCTTCCTTCAGACATCCTTCTTCTCTAAGCACAGATGTGCCGCTTGGCAATCTTCAACATGCTGTGTCTCACTCCATCACTGTAGCTCTGCTGCATCATAAAAATTCACCAGGCTCTGTTAAGCCAGGAAAAGAAATGTCTCAAAGCATTGAAGCAGCTGGTGGCCAATATATGCATGAGCTAAGTTATGCATATAGATTAATAAAAATAATTACACACACACATGCAAACACATGTACACACATATACACATCTGTTAGGGCTGGGTTGCCTGACATTTTGGCAATGTAGAATGTGAGGTGACTTTGAAATGTGCTTATATGAGCTTCCTGGTAAAAAGAAAGAAAACTGGCAAAGAAATAGGTATATATTTTCTTTCTTTCTTTCTTTCTTTCTTTCTTTCTTTCTTTCCTTCTTTCTTCCTGTGACATCTATTAAATTTTTCTGGGCAGCTCAAAGGCACTAGTACAAGATCACCTAATGGTATACCTTCTCCCCCAGCTTCATTTACTTATGAAATCTGAATATACTAACAGGATGCTGGCAGATGACAGCAAATATTTTTTAAACCATTAAGTTTTAATTTGGAATTATATCTCTGTAACACTGAAGGACCTGAAAATACATGCAAAGCAAATGTTGACACACTATAGGAGTTGTGTGTTTGGGTCCCCTCGCTGCATATGGTAAACTGCACGTGGTTAGCCACACATGTGCAACTCAGGGCAGCTTGATGTACTCTGGGATTTATTAAAATGTAAATGACAAAGCGGAGAGGAATGTTCAGACAATTGGATTACTCCATTGACTGAACGCCCTATACCGTATCTATTTTTGTCCAAGCATTGGTGGCTCCTGCTGTGGAATGCCAAATGGAATATTCCATCGCAGGGCATGGGGTGGGGGGACCTGCTTTAAGGAAATTGAAATGTGATCATTTAAGTTTTAATTTGTCTATCTCAAAAGCAGCAGTTTGTCAATACTTTGTGCAAGAAAATATGATAATTTTTGGCCTGTAATTATTAGAAGACAATCATTCTCAACTATTTATTCAGTGTCTATTATTGGACCTGTAACTTCATTCATGAAAATAATGATTCATATGCTTGTTTTGTGCTGGGCCTTGGCTTGTTGAAAATAAGAACATTATGCAATGCGCATGCATATACGTGACATGGCAGTAAGCATGCACAATCCAACAGATGATTTCCTGATGGGAAATTATTACTCATTCCAGAAAAGAGAAGGCAGAGAGGTAGGTGTCTTTATGAAGAGATTGAATTTAGAAAGAATGGGAGCCAGCTGTTTTTTCTCTCCATGGAGAGCAAGACAAAATGGGATTAGACAACAGCGTGAGGGATTTGGAACAGAAATATGAATTTTCCAACTCCATAGACTCTCCAACACCAAAATGTGCTTCAAAGGAAGTGTTCAGACACCAGTTTGTTTATTTGTTTGTTTTTTAATGACTTTAGAAACACAGTCCTCAACCTGCAGTTCTCGACCCCTTTGGGAGTCGACTGACCCTTTCACAGGGGCCACCTAATACCATCAGGAAAGCATAGATATTTTTCTTTACAATTCATAACGGTATCAAAGTTGCAGTTATGAGGTAGCAACAAAAAAAATTTTATGGTTGGGGGTCTCCACAACATAAGAAACTGTATTAAATGGCCGCAGCATTGGAAAGGTTGAGAACCGCTGCTCTAAAGGCACATTTTGTATGTTTGGCCTTAACATGTTGTGAAGTATGGGAACCAGAGGACAGATCTCTAAGATTCTCTTCATCTAGGACCAGAATCTGAAAGTGAGGAGAATCTGAAAGTGGTGGTAAGGTCACAGAAGCTATTCTTTAAATAGCAGTTATTTTCTAATGCCAACTTTCCTCTTGGGGACAGACTGACAAAGTTCACCTGTACTATGAAATGTTAAACTGAATGTAATGTCATAAAATAAGGTAGATGGGAAGCAAGAATGCAAGAGCACAAGGCACTCTTATTTTTTTTTTCTCTTCCCACTATCATTTCTGCTATTCAAAGGCAGAATGCCCTTCCTAGTTACTGTAGATTGATCTTTGTAAGAATGTTGTTAGAATTCCAAGTGATCCAATCTCTTTCTTTCTGGAGTGAGTGTGTGTGTGTGTGTGTGTGTGTGTGTGTGTGTGTGTGTGTGTGTGTGTGTGTGTGTGTGTG